GTTAAAAAATTTATTATTTCTTTTTCTACTTCTCTGGAATCTATTTCTCAAATATTTTAAAACACTTATCTAAATAAGATTTAGAAAAAAAGCTTCTAATCTATGTTGTCAAAATAGAATAACGGTTATTTGGTTTTGGACATGGAATTTAAATGAAATGCATTTTAAAACGAGTTTTAAACACGTAATGTGATGCATTTCTATATAGAGAAATAAATTATGGTATCAATTAGGTCTTTGTTTAAATTTAAAAAATATTTGGACATAATTATTTAAAAAAATTGATTATAATAAATAAATTTTGGAGAAAGAACCAAGATTATTAATATGAAGGATGAGAAGTATTTTTTTCATTTTTAATTTAGGAATATAAAGATTTTTTTAAGTGAATAGAAACAATCAAAGTCACAGATATTTCTATTTATTTATTTTAAAAATATAAACAATTTTATTTACAATTATATATATAATTCCATATGAGTCACATATTTCACAAACGCGTTCAACTTGATGTAATTACTCTCTTAAATCGTTTTTATATAAAAACTTGTACATTTTACATACATATATATATATATATATATATATATATATATATATTATTAATAGAGTGGCATATTAATTAATAATAGTTGATTTTATAAAAGCAATGCCAACAGATTTGTTTTTGTTGCATAGAGAAGGCACAACACAAATGCGACCTTGTTCGAATTAATTTATTTAGAAAAAATATAAAACCAACAGCTAAAATTACTTTTATTACATAAATATAATTTATAGTATTTTATGCACCTATTGGCAAGTTGCTGTAAGTATTGGAAGTTGGAAAATTCAGGTATTTTACCTGCAAATACAAATTTTCGTGAAGTGCTTTTGTTGGTTACATCATTTATAACTTTGAAATTATTTGTTGTAGGAAATTAGTGTATTTGGGAAATCTGTACTAAATTCAATACTGAAGAATATTGTTTAACATTATATGACCCTACAGCAACTCGGTATAGTCATAAATGATAATTGAAAATAAGGAAAAAAGTTGAAGTAATTAGAACTTAGCCAAAAGTACGTTTTTGCCTATAAGATCGCCTATAACTTTTGAACCGATTTTTGAAAGTTAATGAAATATTCGGCAAATTTGTACGAAATTCAATAATCTACAACATTGTCTAACACTACCAGACCCTACAACAACCTGGTATACTCATAAATTATAATCGACATAAGAGAGAAAAAAATCGACATAATTTAGCCAGAAGAACATTTGCGCCCATAACTTTTGAATCGATTTTTGAAAGTTAATGAAATATTTGGCAACTTTGTTCAAAATTAAATAATCTACAACATTGTCTAACAATACCATGCCCTACAACAACTTGGTATACTCATAAATTATAATTGAAAATAAGGAAAAAATGTTGAACTAATTAGAACTTTGCGCGCAAGAATTCTTATAACTTTTGAACCCTTTCTTCGAAGTTAATGAAATATTTGGCAAATTTATACAAAATTAAATAATCTACAACATTGTCTAACACTACACTGCCCCTACAACAACTTGGTATACTCAGAAATAATAATTGAAAAAAAGTTGAACTAGTTAGAACTTAGCCAAAAGTACATTTCGCGCAAGATCGCTCATAACTTTGGAACCGATTCTTGAAACTCAATGAAATATTCGGCAAATTTGTATAAAATTGTATAATCTACAACATTGTCTAACATCATGATGCTCTACAACAACTCGGTATACCCAAATACCTGCCTTAGAAAACACAAAAATTATTTCTTCATAAACATACACGTACATTTGTATGTCGTGTGCCTTGCGTCGGTACATAGTGTTCATTAAATCTTGAATAACTTTAAAACTATTTGCGCGATTTTAATAGTTTATATGGCAAATTTGTACTAAATTCAATAATGTGCAATATTGTCTAACATCACAAGCCTCTACAACAATTCGGTATACTCATAATTGGCAATTGAAAGTGACATATATTCGGTGCATCCGCATAAGTGCCTTCAGTCATTATTTTTAATATAACTTTTAAACTAATTGCAGAAACTAAGTAGTGTCTTCAGGAAATTTATGCAAAATTTAATAGTCTATAATATTGTCTAACATCATAGTGCTCTACAGCAACTCTGTATACCCAAAAACGGCCTTAAAAAACTGACAAATTATTTATTCATAAACATATGTCGTCTTGTATTCTGTATCCGGGATATTGACCTGATATCTGGAACACGTTGACCACTACTGCTTTATTTTATATATATATATATATATATATATATATATATATATATCAAGAGAGAAGTTTTTATTCAGTTTTCCTTTCGTTCGAATAAATTCCGAACGTTTCGCTATCACTTCAATGCGAATTCACTTTTCGCATTTTAAAGAGACACTTGTTAAAAACAATTTAAATTTAATGTGATTTTGTATGTAATTTAAATTGTTTATACATTTTTGTAAATATTAAAAAATAATTTATTAAATTTCTCCGCACGGATAATATACTAAAATTAGAAATGTACCACAAAACTCTAGATTTGGGAAAAAAAAATCTGTTGTGTTCTGTTGGGATTTATGAGTACACCGAGTTGTTGTAGGGTCTTGAGATATTAGACAATATTGTAGATTATTGAATTTTGTACAAATTTACCAAAGACTGTATTTAAATTCAGCAAATAGTTTAAAAGTTATAAAACTATACAAATACACATCAATTAATTGCATGACGAATTGTATCCATGAGTATTTGCAGTTTTATGAGTATACCGAGTCGTTGTAGGGCATTATTGTGTTAGACAATGTTTTAGATCATTAAATTTTAAACAAATTTACCAAAGATACTATTAAAATTAAGTAAATAGTTTTAAAGTTATAAATTATTTACTGAACAAATCGCACATTCCCCTGTTTACTATCATAATGTGTATTACTGCCTTGCAGTATATTTCCAAGTTTCTGAAGTGCTTTTTGAGTATACCGAATTCACGTAGAGTCTTGTAATATTAGACAATATTATAGATTATTCAATTTTGTAGAAATTTACCAAAGGTACTAATTAATTTCAGCATATAGTTTAGAAGTTATATATAATATACTAAACAATTGCACTTTTTCCTGTTGAAGAATATTGAATAAATCAAATAAAAGTTGGAAAAGAGATTTTTAGGAGAAACCTCTGTCTAATAAATTTGATTACTTTTTCTTACTTTTCTCATAAAAATGAAATAAATGAATAAATGAAATAAAAATAGCGCTAAATAATATTCTAAATCAAATCACAAAAAGTATTTCTGTATCTTCTCTATGATGTCACCATCTATTTTTTGACAAAATTTGATGTCCATAGACATTTTTAGTCATTTTAGTAATTTCTCTTACTTTTTCTTAATAAATTCTATTGAATCATCAACATTACAACAAATTCCACACTAAAGTCTTTTATTAATAAAAAAAGAAATCTCTGACCGTGTAGAGGAGGAGCAGTTATGGCAACTTTCATTTTTGGCTTTTATCGTATTAAATTCGGCCAAACTAATACACATAAATAAAATATACACATTTACATACACACACATATGTATATATATATATATATATATATATATATATATAAATAATTGTTAAGAACGTCTCTCACATTCATCTCGTTTTTCGCCCGAGGCATTTTTGCCACATATGGTTATACTTGTACTTTGATCACATTTTTGTGAATATTTCATTTTTGAAGATAAAATTTATCGATTTTAGTATTTGTTGTCATAGTAGACATGTTATAGTATGACCTATTTGAATTTCAGAGCTGTAGGATAAATCTAAGGCTCCAAATAAATTTACAAATTTGGATCTTTAAATTCTGTCTTGATACTTGTAAACTTTTAGGTGTTTGTTGTATAAGATTTTTAATATTTTTAATTTAAATATAGAGTTCATCAATTTTAGTATTTGTTGTTCCACTAAACATACTAAAAATTAATATATTTAAATCATCGATGTACAATATAAAATAAGCTAAGAACAATAAATTAACATACTATTTGGCAGAAAGAGCATTTGTTTGTTGAATGTTTTTAAACTAATCATGTTATTTGAAAAGTGTTTTTAGCAAAACTATACAAAATTAAATATTCTACAATTTTGTCTAAAACCACAAAACCCAGCAGCAATTCGGTATACTCTAAAATAACCATCAAAAACATGTAATTCAGCAGGTTTTGACATTTTTACATGAAATCCCTTACAACTTTTATACCATTTAATATATAAATGATGTATTTGGAAAATTAAATTATCTACAATATTATGTAGATAATTCAGACAGGACTCTATAACAACTCGGTATACTCATAAAACGTAATAGAAATTGAAAAATATATTTTATGGGTTTGCCTTTGTTAACAATCTTGAGGACATTGTGACGTAACATCTTTTATATCGTCTAAACCATTCGATTAGTATGAATGATGTATTCAACAAATTTGTACAAAATTAACCAACCAACAATTTTGTCTAACATTACAAAACCCTACAACAACTCGGTATACTTATAAATGACAATTGAAACTTAATAATATTTCCTGCACATTTAATAATTGACAAAAAAGACAAAAAAAATACATTATTGACTTACAAAATTCACAAAAAAGTACATTTATGCGTACCATCGTGTATAACTTCTAAACCATTTGATTAGTATGAATGATGTATTCGGGACATTTATGCAAAATTAAACAACAAAAAACATTGTCGAACATCACAAAATCCTACAACAACCCGGTATACTCATAACGCCAATATAAAATACGACATTCATACGAAGCATCGGCAGTACCGTTTTGCGCACCATCCCTTATAACTTCCAAACCCTTCGACTAATCTCAACGATGTATTCCCAAAATTGCTACAAAATTAACCAACCAACAACTCTGTCTAACACTCCAAAGCTCTGAAACAACTCCTTCAACCCCAATTTCTTCTTTTCCAGGCGTCGACTTCACCCAACACCAAATCATCTTCAACGAACGAACAACACAAACCAAATTGTCACAGACAACATCAGTTGTCACAGCAACAATCGACATCTCCTACGATGGCCAGAAGGCACAGCAGCTCTACAGCTGGACAACAGCTGCTGAGCAGCCAGCAGCCTGGATCAGCCCTAAGGGATAAACCTATAGATCCTTACATACTGCTGGAGGAGGATTTGAAGGATATTTATGATGATATTAGACAGGTAAGGGGGAAAAGACTTATGTTTCTGGTCTTGGTCGGGTCATCTAGTATATATATATATATATATATATATATATATATATATACGAGGTCTGTTCAAAAAGTACCCGGAATTTTTTCAAAAAAATATTTATTTATTCGTCTACATTAATGTGGTCCCCTTCAAAGTAGTCCCCCCCAGATATAATACACTTATGCCAGCGTTTTTTCCAATTTTCGAAGCACCCTTGATATTCACTTTTTGATATGTCCTTGAGCACTCTCGGCGATTCGGCCTTTATTTCTTCAATCGAGGAAAACCGCCGTCCTTTCATGGGTCTCTTCAACTTTGGGAATAGGAAAAAAGTCACACGGAGCCATATCTGGTGAATTTTTGCACTTTGCAACACTTTATTTCATTTTTTGCGCAAAATTTAATACAAATTCTTTGACTTTTCAATTCTTCCATTGTAAAAATCGCCGAGCTCAGAAAAACACGTCGAACCTTAGCGACTACCACAGACAAAGTAAACAGTGAATATAGCTGAAAATTTCATCATACTTTAGGGGCATGTATACCAACACAATAAAAAAAAAATTTTGACAATCAGACACTCCAGACCCGCGAAATTTAATTATTAGTAATTCCGGGTACAACAAAATTATTGCGGCAAATGGAGAGGAAAAAAGCGTGTGCCCTGCGATTTTTTTTACTGTGCTCCAATTTGCTTGATATTTTGAAAATTAATCTTAATCTTAAGTTCAGAAGTGAAAACAATTTGCACTCTGTCACCACCCTCGGTATTAATTAGCTTATAACTCTTTTAATTCTGATTTTATCAGAACTTGTAATATACTATTTTAAAGGTAATTAAATGAACTACAACTTTTCTATTATAAATTTTACCGTAACTTCACTTATTTTGTAACGGCGAAGGGGTTAAAGGGCTCGAAAGATACTCTGGTTGGACAGCCGCGCACTCTTTAAACAATCATAACTCTATCGATATTTTTGTAACAGAAAATTAATAAAAAGCAATAATTAGTCTGAAAAATACCTTGAATTTTCATCTATATACCTTTATACGTATCTTTTATTCTATAATAATGAGAAATTGCTTGTTTTTTTTAAATAGATTTTTTATCATGAGCTTTTTGAAGATCGTTTGTACTAAAGTTGTGGTATTTTTTAGAATCCATCAAGATCTCTTAAACCAAGTTAATTCTAGATGGAAAACGATTATTTTTAATTTTGGTGAAAATGGCACTCATAAACTATTTGATTTAAATGAAAAAAAAAACATTGTATGCGTCTTTTATTTGCATGATAGCTCACACATTTTACACGCAGCAGTACTCATTTTAAAGCTTATTTGAGCACAATAAAACCCCGTTTTCATATCCAGCTTAATATTGTTCCTAGAACACTTTATAAAACACCGATTTATTAAGATTTTAATTTATATAATTTTGTTCATTTCATTATTTTCGTTAAAAGGTATATTTTAGCCAAAAAAAAAACAAAAAAACGCAGAAAAGAAACAAATATTCAGTAGCCAGTAACTTGAAAAGTATTTGCTTTTCAAGTGTTTTTTTTTTGAAAAACATTATTAAACATTTTTCTCTTAAAATTAGTTCTTTTATTGAAAAGAAATGTTATCCCTCCGGAAAGTACAGAAAAAGAGTCTAAATTATTTTCACTTTTGAACTTGAGAGTAAGATGAACCTAATTCCAAAATTTCATGCAAAAATTCAGACCCAAAACGCTCCATTGACTTGAGTAAATATTTCGTATTCAATGCCAAACATATGAATTTTTGACACAATGACACTTCTAAATAATTTTTTGAATAAGTAAATTTTTTTGTATTGTGATTTAGTAAAGTAAGGCAAAACACGACTGCATTAGTTAAAAAATAATAATTTGTCAAATTGAATTATAGACTAAGTTTGATGTGCCATCACCTGTCAGAGGCATGTTGACTGTATTTTATTATATTATTTTAATTTTTGGCACATCTCAGCTGCTTTTCGGCAAAAATAATGTAGACATTACATTTTTCTTATTCATAATCATAAATATATTATGTTTTAATATTGTCTTAGCCTATAAGTAAATAGAAATGTTTGGCAAATGACAGTCTTCATTTGTTTTTAATGTCAAACTATGCCTTAAATATTTTCAGGGTCAAACAATGATAAGCGATTTTTTGTAATTTTTTCTATTTATTTCTACAATCTAACTATATTTCTGTGAATCTAAAAATTCTAGAAAATTTCCCGAACAAACTTCAGGAAGATTTATGAATATCTGAGTAATAGTTTAGGAGGATTAACTTTTCATACCCCATTACAGAAGAATTTTATATATGATATATATATATATATATATATATATATTATATATATATATATTTACTTTCTGGTATTTCAGGCTCTGCTAGGATCAACAAATCAACCAGAATTGGACGTAATATCAACATATTACTTCGATGGACAAGGAAAAGCTTTAAGACCAATGGTCGCAATTTTAATGGCCAGAGCTATCAACTATCACATGGGAAACAAGTAAGTAACTAGTGGTGTATGGCATCGTGCCTTAAGGCAAATTGCTGAAACTTCCCGTACCGTAATGAAATATTCGAGAAATTTTAAACGTTTTCAAATATATTATTACAAATACTGTAACTTTCATTATTTTTGCTATCTTATTGTTATATCTGAGCAAATCAAATGTAAATCATAAATCATAAATCAATTTATCTCCAGAACATTAACAATCGTCATTTCATTTCGAATTCAATTTAAAAAAAAAATAGTTGCCTAATTTGCACAAAATTGAAAAAGTGCTCACGTATAGTCACAGTCTAAACGCATTTGCAAAATAAATGTATGTACTAAATATGAAAAATATAAAATATATGCTTTATTAATAAGAAGTGTGAAACATTTGCGATTAACTGAATAAAGTACGTAAAGTGCTCTTGTAAACACAATGTTACTATTCAACGAGCTATTCAGAACGCACTGTTTGTACTAAAACCTTGTAATTTTAGTATGTTGTTACTAAATGTATGTACTAAAAATAAAAAATACTAAAATATATGCTTTTAATAAGAAGTGTGAAATATTTGCGACTAACTGAATAAAGTACGTAAAGTGCTCTTGTAAACTCTATGTTACTATTCAACGAGCTCTTCAGGACGACCCGTTTGTACTAAAACCTTGTAATTTTAGTATGTTGTTACTAAATGTATGTACTAAAAATAAAAAATACTAAAATATATGCTTTAAATAAGTGTGAAATATTTGCGACTAACTGAATAAAGAACGTACAGTGCTCTTGTAAACTCTATGTTACTATTCAACGAGCTCTTCAGGACGACCCGTTTGTATTACAACCCTGTAATTTTAGTAGGTTGTTACTAAATATGTGTACTAAATATAAAAAATACCAAAAAGTTAGTTTTCTTAATAAAAAGTATGAAATATTTGTGATTAACTGAATGAAGAACGTAAAGTGCTCTTGTAAACACAATGTTACTATTCAACGAGCTATTCAGAACGCACTGTTTGTACTAAAACCTTGTAATTTTAGTATGTTGTTACTAAATGTATGTACTAAAAATAAAAAATACTAAAATATATGCTTTAAATAAGTGTGAAATATTTGCGACTAACTGAATAAAGAACGTACAGTGCTCTTGTAAACTCTATGTTACTATTCAACGAGCTCTTCAGGACGACCCGTTGTATTACAACCCTGTAATTTTAGTAGGTTGTTACTAAATATGTGTACTAAATATAAAAAATACCAAAAAGTTAGTTTTCTTAATAAAAAGTATGAAATATTTGTGATTAACTGAATGAAGAACGTAAAGTGCTCTTGTAAACACAATGTTACTATTCAACGAGCTATTCAGAACGCACTGTTTGTACTAAAACCTTGTAATTTTAGTATGTTGTTACTAAATGTATGTACTAAAAATAAAAAATACTAAAATATATGCTTTTAATAAGAAGTGTGAAATATTTGCGACTAACTGAATAAAGTACGTAAAGTGCTCTTGTAAACTCTATGTTACTATTCAACGAGCTCTTCAGGACGACCCGTTTGTACTAAAACCTTGTAATTTTAGTATGTTGTTACTAAATGTATGTACTAAAAATAAAAATACTAAAATATATGCTTTAAATAAGTGTGAAATATTTGCGACTAACTGAATAAAGAACGTACAGTGCTCTTGTAAACTCTATGTTACTATTCAACGAGCTCTTCAGGACGACCCGTTTGTATTACAACCCTGTAATTTTAGTAGGTTGTTACTAAATATGTGTACTAATATAAAAAAATACCAAAAAGTTAGTTTTCTTAATAAAAAGTATGAAATATTTGTGATTAACTGAATGAAGAACGTAAAGTGCTCTTGTAAACACAATGTTACTATTCAACGAGCTATTCAGAACGCACTGTTTGTACTAAAACCTTGTAATTTAGTATGTTGTTACTAAATGTATGTACTAAAAATAAAAAATACTAAAATATATGCTTTAATAAGAAGTGTGAAATATTTGCGACTACTGAATAAAGTACGTAAAGTGCTCTTGTAAACTCTATGTTACTATTCAACGAGCTCTTCAGCACGACCCGTTTGTACTAAAACCTTGTTAATTTTAGTATGTTGTTACTAAATGTATGTACTAAAAATAAAAAATACTAAAATATATGCTTTAAATAAGTGTGAATATTTGCGACTACTGAATAAAGAACGTACAGTGCTCTTGTAAACTCTATGTTACTATTCAACGAGCTCTTCAGGACGACCCGTTTGTATTACAACCCTGTAATTTTAGTAGGTTGTTACTAAATATGTGTACTAAATATAAAAAATACCAAAAAGTTAGTTTTCTTAATAAAAAGTATGAAATATTTGTGATTAACTGAATGAAGAACGTAAAGTGCTCTTGTAAACACAATGTTACTATTCAACGAGCTATTCAGAACGCACTGTTTGTACTAAAACCTTGTAATTTTAGTATGTTGTTACTAAATGTATGTACTAAAAATAAAAAATACTAAAATATATGCTTTTAATAAGAAGTGTGAAATATTTGCGACTAACTGAATAAAGTACGTAAAGTGCTCTTGTAAACTCTATGTTACTATTCAACGAGCTCTTCAGCACGACCCGTTTGTACTAAACCTTGTAATTTTAGTATGTTGTACTAAATGTATGTACTAAAAATAAAAAATACTAAAATATATGCTTTAATAAGTGTGAAATATTTGCGACTAACTGAATAAAGAACGTACAGTGCTCTTGTAAACTCTATGTTACTATTCAACGAGCTCTTCAGGACGACCCGTTTGTATTACAACCCTGTAATTTTAGTAGGTTGTTACTAAATGTATGTACTAAAAATAAAAAATACTAAAATATATGCTTTAAATAAGTGTGAAATATTTGCGACTAACTGAATAAAGAACGTACAGTGCTCTTGTAAACTCTATGTTACTATTCAACGAGCTCTTCAGGACGACCCGTTTGTATTACAACCCTGTAATTTTAGTAGGTTGTTACTAAATATGTGTACTAAATATAAAAAATACCAAAAAGTTAGTTTTCTTAATAAAAAGTATGAAATATTTGTGATTAACTGAATGAAGAACGTAAAGTGCTCTTGTAAACACAATGTTACTATTCAACGAGCTATTCAGGACGCACCGTTTGTATTACAACCTTGTAATCTTAGTATGTTGTTACTAAATGTATGTACTAAAAATAAAAAATACTAAAATATATGCTTTTAATAAGAAGTGTGAAATATTTGCGACTAACTGAATAAAGTACGTAAAGTGCTCTTGTAAACTCTATGTTACTATTCAACGAGCTATTCAGGACGCACCGTTTGTACTAAAACCTTGTAATCTTAGTATGTTATTACTATATATGTACTAAATATAAAAAATATGAAATTTATATATGATAGAAGAAAATTACGAGTTATTATAATCATTCAGATAATGTACGTTACAAAATTCAATTATAAATTAAAATCTCTTTATAAATTTTAATTCAACATTTGCAAATAATTCTGTGCGACATTTTCGCTTATACTGTG